AAGCCATACATTTATATGCACAAGATGGGTAAGGCAATGACCCTGAGAAAGATCAGCAGGTTTTCGAAACTAGCCGTTAAATGGTAGGATTCTCACCCTGACTAACTATATATGCTGATACCTGTGAACTGAGCAACTGCACTGAAGAAAGCAATATGTAATAGAAGGGTCACACTTGGAATGCCTGTCATTCTGGTCTTGTAAATATGGACTGCTTGTCATGACATACCAATTACTGCCATACTGTTTCTCAAGTACATGTTCATTTAAAAAAAAGGGGGGAGAACAAATGAAAAAGAGAGACAAGAAAAAAAAAATGTCACAGGACTGTCCTGCTACAATGCTGTACATGGTGAGATACCTAAATTTCTGTGTAAAAATATGTAACTGTTTATTCATATATTTTTAATTTTTTTTCTTCATATTCTGTAGGGACTTAAAATGTAACATATCAATACTTGATGGAAAATACCTGTTCCATGTTATGCCTAAGATGTTTGATATTCAGACAGATAGTGAAGTTAAACCCATCCAACTTCATGTTGTAGGATAATAATAAGCTTCTCTTCTGGAGGGTTAACAACTTAAGTTTACAGACCAAAAATTAGAGAAAAAGAAGGGCTGGCAAGGTCAGCCAACATTCTGGCCCTAGCCTTTCAAGGTCAGTGAAGACTCAGGACATAGGAGAACCGATACTGTAACATCATATAACTCAGCTGTGTCCCAAATTTTCTGATCGAGGAGATTATGGGGCCACAGAGCAATGTGACTGATGGTGTAGAGTGTGCCTAAGGAGAATCACATGCAGAGAAAACATTCTCTCAGGCTTTCACAGAGAGAAAACTGGTAAAGCAATGGCCATGTCTCATCCACATGGCTGACATTGACAAAGGAGCTACAAACTGCAGTACAGGGTTTCAGGATAAATATTGAGGGGACCTGTCTGACTTTATCTGATACAAAAGTTACATTTCTTGTTATATAGGTCTTGCTTTACCTTGGTCTTAACCATCCAGCAGAAAGATATAAAAACAAGGTATAAGGGGCGAAGCCATGTTGGTATGCTGGGCTGTAAAGGGCTCAGGTCAACAACTTCTGACATTGCCAGTCCTGAGGATGACCCACCACTATTATGGACTACTGGAATATATTGGAATATTGTGCTGAATTCACGCACCTACAATATTTAAATGACAATGGAATATCCTTCTCTGACAAAACTAATAAAAAATGGGATACAAATGAAGGAACATTTT